ACCTTCTGGTACCTCTGTTTGTAACACCTCGAAATATACATTTCAGACCCCACAAAATATATATATTCTTGATCAGCATAAAATTCTATGTTGATTCTATGTCCTTCTGTCTATCCGTCTGTGGAAATCACTCTAGCTTCCAAACGAATTGAAGTAGATTGATAAAATTTTACTCAAAAGTATATTATGTCTGCAGGACTTTTGGTATTGAAAATGGTAGTTCCACGTTTTGGTATAGCCCCCATATAACGGTACTCCCCGATATTCAGTATTTTAATGATTGTAGCGACATTTTTCACCGGAATTGTTTCAAATTTCGTGTTTGAAGTTTGAAATGAATACTACAGCCTATAACAGAAAATTGTCTGCGCCGGTCCACGTCTTTGTACAGCGCCCATATGACTGTACATCCCGATATTCGGCACTTTGTTGATTTTAGCGACATTATTCACCGGAATTGTTTCAAAGTTGGTATTTGATGTTCGTAATGAGTACTACAAGAATTCCGGAATTCTTTCAAATTTGATATTTGAAGTTCGTAATTAATACTACAGCCTAAGACAGAAAATTGTCTAATCAGGTCCAGCCCCCATATAACGGTACCTCCCGATATTCGGTACTTCGTTGACATTATTCACCAGAATTGTTTCAAATTTATTTGAAGTTCGTAATGGATACTACAGCCTAAAACAGAAAATTGTCTGTGCGGTCCACGTCTTCGTATAGCCCCCATATAACGGTACCTCCCGATATTCGGTATTTTGATAATTTTAGCGACATTATTCAACGGAATCGTTTAAAATTTCGTATTTTAAGCTAGTAATGGGTACTTCAGTCTTCGATAGAAAATTATAAGTGCAGGTTTATGTCTTCGTATAGCCCCCGTATAACGGTACCTCCCTTTATTCGGTATTTTGATGATTTTGATAATGCATGTCCAAGTCGTCGTATAGACGGATTTTTTTTTTTGAAAAATTGCCAAATTCGTTCGGCTCGGTCGAGCTTTCAGCTTTTTTATTTGTTATGATTAACAATGACGAATTTCGAAAATTTTGGGGATTTACTATAGCATTTTAGAAATATTCCGATATTGGATAATTTTAACAAACGTGTCGGGACAAATATATAAAGTATATATAAATAATAATACCTATTTTTCAGCAATTTTATTCAATGTATCTTAAACTTTTTTTATGGAGTGTACCATATATTCAACATAAATTATCTGCAAAAATATAACAGCCTTTCTGTTCCTTCTCACTCTTAAGTATAATCAAAATAAATGGAAGATGCATTTTTTATAGTAAAATTAGTGTATTAAATTAAGTGTGATATCAAATCAAGACAATCAAAGTAGCAGCAACAACAACAGTAACTATGTACATATCAACCAACACCACTACAGAAACAACAAATTTCAATTTCAATTCCAAAATGTGACCGTCATTTGTTTGCGTTTATTATTCGTAATGTTTAATAGTGGGATGTTGCTAATTCAGCGCTTTTTTGTTTTTCTGCTATGAAAACTAAGTAAAGATTAATATCACACACATCATGGCACACATACCCATACACTAACACCATCTCCGAATTGCATTGCATATCTCAACACATTGTAGTTTTGAAATATTTCAAACTTTTTTTCCTACTCTCCTTCATGTCTCTCCATGGCTGCATGCCTTAGCTGAAATCCATTTAGGCAGATAACCTCCTCCCCCCTACTGGTGTTAGTTTCAACAGCCTTGTGCCTTGGCTACTCTGCTAATCTTTGTCACAATTCAATCCAATTACGATGGTCACTCACGCTGGTTTTCCATTAGGTAAAGGAAATGACATTAAGCGACAAACATGGAAATGAAGAACGAAACAAAGATGAAGAGGAAGGAGATGGAGAAGGAGACACAGAAGCAGAAGAAGTCGAAGTGATAGTGGACCAGTTAGATGTGCCTTCAATTTGGGTCTCTGGGTCGTTTAGCTTTGACTTTCATTGGAAAAAATTGACCGACAAAACCGTTCTTGACGGTCAATGGCAATTAAGTTAGTGTGTGTGTGTGAGAGAGAGAGAGAGCGAACGCGGACTACTGCAAATGTTTTGTTTTTGTTTCGGCTTTAAAAACGCCAGCATCGCAACTTCAAGTAAAACAAAACAAACTAACGACATTGTAAATTAGACAGTTTTGAAAATTGAAATGCATAACTGTCATGTCCACTAAATTGTCGACAATTAAAAGTGGTTGAAAGTACGACAAAACAAAAGACATATGTATTGTCGGCTTGTTAAAAAAGTTCGCTTAGAATGCCATGACTCATTGGAATTCTTTTTTTTTTAAAATGCTAGTGAGAAATACAAAATATCGTGATATTTTGAATTGAAATGGAGGATATTTTTTACCGAATCTGTAAAGGATACATTTTTTCGAGATGTGTTCGCGATGGATTTGCACATCATGATATTCCTATAAAATCCTTTTCCATTATGGACGAATTGAGTATTCTCTATCAACTCCCTTTCAAAGCGTCAACATTTTAAAACCCCGTCAATATCAGTATAGAGAGTCCAGTATAGAGAGTTGATTCCATAAGCCGATCAAAGAACACATTTTCAACCATGCCAATCTTCTCCTTTTTTGCACCAATCATTGATACCATTCTTTGAGTTATTATCCCGTACTTGGTATTTCAATTAAAATGTTTATTATTTCTTACTGTGTATAGGGTCAAGATTGTAGTGTTAATGTGCCATTCCAACGGAGCTCAATTACTTCTTCTCCTCGAATGACCTAGGCAACGCAATCATTGTAATACGAAACGTTTCGTGTTAGCAAGATTTTATACCCTCAGCCATTGGCTATGAAGGGTATACAGGGTGAGATAAAAAAACTGCAACAAAGTCAAACGCCATAATTTTAACAATTTTTTTAAAATTTATTGAATGAAGGCAAAAAATGTTGGAGATAGCATCAAATTGAAGAATAAGTTTAGATCTGTTCGAAAAGGTCAACTTTGCCACGAATTATTGCCTTCAAACGGCCAATGAAACCGTCACCCGCAGCCCGAGTGTTGAGGTGATCACACTTTAGTATTTTTCAGTGCCAACCTTGCTTTCCAAAATACCTCAGACACAATAGTGCAACGGTTTGGTATGCGGAGATTTTGATGGTCACTGTGCGCTGGAAATGAAGCGAGGAACCTCATTTTGTAACCATCTTGGGGTGGCGCGTGCTGAGTGCAATGGTGCTAAGTCCTGTTGGAATGTCTAAGGTCTGCGGCCAAAATGTGCATATTTACGTGCCCAAGGCTTTTATACACTCTCCGGCATTTATTCTGATGCCACGGTCGATTAATACGAGCGGAGAGCGACCATCGGCTGTTATGGCGGCCCACACCATCACCATGGCCGGCGCTTGAGTTCTGGTGGCCAACCGAATGTGCACATTTTCATCTGACCTCTTTGGCAAGTAAACTCGATCATTTTGTTTGTTTACAAACTGTTGGAAAATTCTCACCAAAATGCTTTTGAACGCAGGTAAACAATGTAATGAGCTGTCACTGGAATAATTTTAACAGCTGTCAGGCGAGTGGCTTAGAAATGACAGCAGTCTGTATATCATTTGATACGGCCTAAACGTGCCTCAACGAAAAAACGGTTTTAGACCGGAAAAACGGAGTCGATCTAGCGATCTTCGTCCGTCCGTCTGTCACGATAACTCTCGAAGGGAGTATCCGAAATTTTCAAAAAAAAAAAAAAAAAAAAACTGCACAGAAAGACAAAAGATAATCCGATTTTTCTTAAACTTTGCAAATCCTAATATTTGCATCAGTACTACGTCAGGTGCGAAAATGTTCAAAATTTTGAAATTTTTTAACTCTTATAAAATGTGATGTAAGAGCCCGATTGTCTTCGAATCACACACATCCCAATATTATTATTGCACCAAGGTCTGGTGCGAAGATGGAATATATCGGTTTACTCCTTCTGTTACCTCCCTCACAAAGGGTCCAGATTTTGAATATTTATGAAACTCGTAAGAGGCGAAATTAACATCCGATATCATTCTGACTTGTCACATCTCAATAATTCTATTAATAGAAAATCTGTCAAAAAGATGATAGAGATCGGACTTTTCCTTCTGGTACCACCCCCTCAAAGGGTCAAAGTTTTCAATACCCAAAACGATCATAAAAACCGAAATAAACATCCGATTTTCTTCATATTTCCCACACCTAATTATTTCTAACAACACCGGTCCACTCCTTCTGGTACCTCTCCCACAAAGGGCCACGATTTTCAATACTTTTTAATATCATAACTTGCGAAATAAGTCACAGATTCTTTATAACTTGCTATATCTAAATATTCCTCTTAACCAGGAACCTGAGATGAATATGGAATTTATCGGTTTTTATGATTTCACATAAAATTGGATATAACTGTTCGATTTCCTTTAAATTTTGCACACACCAATATTTTTATCCATATTAGATGAAGTATGAAAATTGAATACTTCGGTCCGCTGTTACCTCACGAATATTTCCACATTTTCTCATATAAACTATACTAAGTAGTCGATAAAGTCCAAATCGGGCACGTTGCAATATTTTTACAGTCTTACATCAGATACGAATTGGTCAATATTGTCCAACTGCTTTGGAATCTCCACCATAAAGGGTCAACAGCTTGAATATCTATAACGCGTGGCTGGGTGTATACATCTGTCGGCAGAACCCACTGATACTACTTGTTTTTATTTTCAAAAAAAAAAATATCAAACCCCAGAAGCATTTATTTCTATGCGATGAACAAAATTGTCAAGGAAACACACACAGCCTATATTTCTATTGAAATGTCTCCAACTCCTGTTGACTTTAATCTACACATCCTTGAAATCCCTCACTAATATCATTATCATTATTAAAGACAGTAATTAGAATTTTAAATTATTATAAATTATTTTAATTAGCATCAAAATACATACACACGAATGCACGCACGCACTTACCTCCATACATAACGAAGAGAGTGATTTTCAACATAATCAAATTTGGATTGATGCCATGCCGTTGACAGAACTCAGCAAAGCGGGAATTTTCTGGCGGTATATAAACCGTTTCCGTGGCAACTTCCTCTCCCCTCATTTTGGCGATGGTTGTAGTTTTCGTTGCGGGGCGGCTTTATGTTTGTGTTCTTTGTTACACTTAATAATGATGATATTCACAAGTCACAAGAACTAAATTAATTAGACGTTTTAATAATCACAATTAATTACACGACCACGGCTATGGCTACGGCTACAGCGGCAAAGTCAATAATTTGAGTGGCTTCTTAGTTAATTAAGTTTGGAGGAAGACAATTGTTTTACTTTGAGTTGTTGTTATTGTTTCTTAGATTTTTTTTCTTATTTTATTCGAATTTAGTTGGAATGGAGATCTTTTCGAAGTTGGGTTTTTTGTTTCTTTGATTCTCTCACTTATGACATTTAAGGCTTTTTATTCGGTTCACTTTGGCACTTCATTTGAATGAAAATTAATTGTAATTTGATTTGATTTTGAGAAGATTTTTTTTTATTTGTGCTGCTACTTTATTTTGACACTGTCACGCACACACCCACAATTAAACAAAATCACTTAGCAATTGAGAGAGAAAGGGAGAGAGAGATAGAGAGAAATATGGTTTATTTTTCTATACTCATTGCCGGACTATTCAATGAATAGTAGACAGATTATATATATCTCAGATTTGGATGAATGAAGAATATATAATAATATTCAAACTAATACTTTGACACTTTCTCACACGCACACTTTTATATAGCAAAACCAAACAAAACCGTTGCCTGTGTGTGCGCTTGCGCTCACTTACACACTGCCAAAAACACGACACGACGCGAATTGAATGTCTTGCCTCCTTTTTATTCTATTCTGATTAAATTCAATTTATCTCTCGGGAAAAAAAGAAGAACTGATCTTTTATGTTAATGCTTATGGTGATGATGACGCTTGTTGTTGTTGTTGTTGAATTTTTCACATTGAGATTGACGAGGTTTTTAGGTAGATTATTTTTCTCCAGAAGAAAAATTTCAAATATGTTCGATATTATTTTTTGTTTATATAGTTCAGTTGATTGTTATTGGTCTTATCTTGAGACGGGAGCGTGACTCATGGAAATTATTAAGACAGCAAATACTTCGAGCTTCCTATGGGTGGATTTTGGTTTTTTATTGGCGTTTTATTTGAATTTCTGAAAAATAAAATAATTTAATATTAATATATTGTTAAAGAAATTCTAAGTTTATAGTTATTAAATTAGTAGCTTCTCTAAAGGCCTGATAAGGATCCTCAATGCAAAGCCTACAAAATTATATATATATATATATATATATATATATATATATATATATATATATATATATATATATATATATATATATATATATATATATATATATATATATATATATATATATATATATATATTCCTAATCAACATAAAATTCTAAAGCTGATTTAACGAAGTCCATCTGTCTGTCCGTCTATCTGTCTGTCTGTTGAAATCATGATACAGCTCACATTATTTGACTTAGAGCTTCAAAATTTTGCAGAACAATTTGTATTATATATAGGATGGTTGGTATTGAAAGTGAGATACGTTGGTTTTTGTTTTGGTATAGCCGCCATATAACGGTACCTCCCGATATTTGGTATTTTAATGATTTTCGGCACATTTTTTCACGAATTTGTCTAAAAATTGGCATTTGTAGGTCAAAATGCTCCGTTGGCGAAACATTGTATGTGCAGATCCAAGTTTTTGTATAGCCCTCATATTCGATATTTTGATGATGTTTGCACATTTTTCTACGGATTTGTCTAAAAATTGATATTTGTAATTCACAATGGGTTCAAACTCCGGTGGTGGAACATAGTATATATAGGTCCACGTTGTTGTATAGCCCCATATAACGGTACCTCCCGATATTCGGTATTTCGATGATTTTTGCCACATTTTCCCACAAATTTGTCTAAAAATTGATATTTGTGGGTGAAAACATTGCATGTATAGGTCCACGTATTGGTATAGCCCCCATATAACAATACCTCCCGATATTCGATATTTTGAAAAAAATGTTTCTAGCCCGGTGGCAGAACATATAATGATACCCACAGATATTCGGTATTTTGATAATCCTAGTCACGTTTACCCACATAATTGTTTCAAATTTTGGAATTTTAGAAGATTTGAAGGATGACAATCCTTGAAGTATAAAATTGCCTATAGAGTTACCCGGTTTGGTATGAACCCACTCCTCGCTCACTGCCTCACTCACTTTATGGTTGTTAGATAAATTCAACTGCATTATGCAAACTATCTTACTGGTATATAAAGTTTAAGGTGCAACACGCTTCAGATATTTTATATAAAAATGTTTCCTTTACCCTAAGGTGGAGGGTATTTAATGCTTTTTCTTTGTTATTGGATCAAGCCAATATTTATATCCTACATCACATAGTGGTAAGGGTTTTATGACTTTGTGCATTTGTTTGTAACATTGAGAAGGAAGCGAGGTAGACCCATAGTTACTTTTGAGATCTTCATAGAATCACTTTCTGAGTCGAGGCATGCATGTCAGTCCGTCCATGTATTTTTGTAAACAAAATTCAGGTGGCATTTATTATCAGATCCGATCAAATTTTCCAAACAAAACACGAACCCTATTGAAATTGGTGAGAATCGGTTAAAATTGAGATAAAGCTCCCATATATATCTTCAACCGATTTCGGGTTAATTGTGCACCAAAAGGCCAATATCGATCCGATTGACCTGAATTGTGGCACATTCGAACGAATTCAGTCTAGAAGCAAGAAAAAAAAATCGGTTCAGATATAGCTATACCTCCCATATATATGTTTCATCCAGTTTGGTGTTTAAATCCCTCAAATTCGTTATATGGATTCGACAACAATGATATTTTGTACAAGATATCTTATAAAGCTCAGAAATACTTCTGCCAAATTTTATCGCGAACGACCAAGATTTGGATACAGCTCCCATATATATCCTTAACACGATTTCAGGTTTAATGTGCAAATAATGGCTAATATCAACCCATAGTTGGTATGATCTACTTCAAATTAACTCTTTTGTTACGGGAGATCTACTAAATATGCATAGTGGTGTAGGGTATCATATAGTCATTTCTAAGCCTCTCGTCCGACAGCGTTAAAATTATTCCAGTGACAGCTCATTATATTGTTTAAAAGCGTACAAAAGAATTTTGGTGAAAATTTTCCAGAAAAACTGTTATTCGTGATGGAATTCAAGCGTGATAGTGTGATTTCTTTATATTTGGCTGGAAAACCACAAATGGCTATCGTTAGAGCACTAAAGCATTTAAATGTGAATAAATCGTGTGTGTCTCGTGCTATCGCTCGTTACCGTTATACTGGTAGCGTAGCCCGACGTCAAGGAAGTGGGCGAAAAAAAAAAACAGCAACATCAGCAGAAATGGTTCGAAAAGTAAAGAAGTAACTTGATCGAAACCCTCGTTGCCAAAAAATGGCTCGGGAGCTGAACATATCGCAATATCCAAATCGGTAAATATTGAAAATGAGCTCAGGGTAAAACATTGAAATTCCAAAAAGTGCAAGAACTTACACGGCAACAGAAAGAAAATAGACTCAAAAGAGTTAAAGAGTAGCTTCACTTGGCCGAAAGTGGTGAACTGTCGAATTTGGTTTTCTCCGCTCCTATGAGAAAACATTCGTTGTCCAGCAATTTGTAAACAAACTTGCCAAAGAGGTCAACTGAAAATGTGCACCTTCGGTTGGCCACTAGAATTCAAGCGCCGGGAGCCGGCCATGGTGATGGTGTGGGCCGCCATAACAGCCGATGGTCGTTCTCCGCTCGTGTTTTATCGACCGTGGCATCAGAATAAATGCAAAATATTATCGGGAAAATATTCTGGAGGATGTATTAAAGGCTTGGACACGCAAACATTTTGGCCGCAGACCTTGGACATCCCAACAGGACTCAGAACGCGCCACACAATAATGGTTACAAAATAAGGATCCTCGCTTCGTTTCCAGAGCACAATGGCCGCCAAAATCTCCGGATACCAATCCGTTGGACTATTGTCTCCGGAGTATTTTTGAAAGCAAGGTTGGCACTAAAAAATACCAAAGAGTCGATCACCTCAAGCAAGCGCTTCGCCGGGAATGGGCCAAAATACCGCAGAGCAACATTCGGGCAGCGTGTGACGGTTTCATTGGCCATAATTCGTGCCAAAGGTGACAATTTCGAATAAATCTAAACTTATTCTAAGATTTGATGCTATTTCCGACATTTTTTTCTTTCATTCAATAAAATTAAAAAAATGTAAAAACTATGGCGTTTGACTTTGTTACAGTTTTTTTCATCAGCATAAAATTCTATATCGATTTAACGATGTCCGTCCGTCTATCCGTCTATGGAAATAACTCTAGCTTTCGAACGAAATGGAGAAGGTTTATAAAATTTTACTCAAATGTATATTATATCTGCAGGACTTCTGATATTGAAAATGGGATGGCCCCCATATAATGGTACCTCCCTATTTGCTGTATTTTGGTGATTTAAATGACATTATTCGCCGGAATTATTTCAAATTTGGTATTTGAAGTTCGTAATGAATACTACAGCCTAAGAAAGAAAATTGTCTGTGCAGATCCACGTCTTCGTATAGCCCCCATATAACGGTGCCTCCATATATTCGGAATTTTGATGATTTAGCTTTTTCTAGTTTCGCATTTGAATATGGCTTATGAGGTCATATACATACGGCTACATTCGGTATTTTTTAAGATTTTAAGAGAATTTTTAACGTTTTTTTTTTTTTTTGAAAATTGCAAGAATCGTTCCAAATGGTTTCTGGTATTCAAAGTTCGGCCCAGCCGAATTTACATTTTTTTTACTTGTTTTTTTTTTTTATTTTTTTTTTTTTTCTTTGAGATATTTCTTTTGAATTTTTTAAATAGACTACCTACATACTTTTGGGCATTTTAATAACATTGACGAAAATTTTCAATCGAATAAAAAATGTCTACCTAAAATTTAGAAAAAAAATCTGCCTGTCTATTTGTGGAAACGGTTATTATTTAATGTAGAGCTTTAAAAGTTAACAGAATTCATGTATAGCACTCATATTATAGCACCTACATATTTGTGAATAAAAAAAATAAGTGAATTGAATAATATGGAACCTAAAGAACTATCTATAGCTTGAATTTATTGAATGATCCATTTGTACATTAACTGACGTTATTATCCGTTGCACACATTTTCCAATATCTGGGTATTTGTTAGGAATAGGAAAAACTGACCATATGAGAGGAACCATCGCCATACAGTCGTTATCTCATAAAAAAAAATTGCACTCTAAAAATTCTCGGCTATAATAAGACAATCTGCACATATATGTTAAGAATATATTCTTATATTTATAGCCGAACCTCTAGATAATTTCTGACAAATCTTTAAATATTTCATGGAGTCATGACTATGAGATTTTTTGCCCAAACTGACATTTATGATAAAAATTAAAATGAAGTCTTCTCTTTTTCAAAATAATTACAAATTTTCGATCCAAAAAAATTAGCCCTGTTTCATTGTCTACCTCTCTGTGGTAGAAAAAAGTAGTGCAAACTCCAGTCGATTTGGCATTGACAAATCTACAAACACTTTAATTCAATATTTGTTCACGTGTTAAACCTAAGCCCAATAATAATAAAACAATAATTTTTATTATTTTTCTTCCACACAAAAATATTGCAATCCAAAAATCTAGTTTTGTAGGTTATCATCACATGCTCACCCAAAAGCGGGGTCCATAAATTATCTCCAGTTTTTTTCTCTTGTTTTTATCGAAAAAAATAAAATTCCTTGTCTATTTTTAAGATAACCTTATCATATCTAAGATTATTTTCTAGAATTGTTATTTTTTGTGTTTCATAGACATAAAAAGAGATTATCTTTAATTTTCATATTT